GCGGTAGGAGTGGTTTAAGGGTGGGGTAGAGTAGAGTGGGGGTGAGTTTGGTGGGGGTTTGGTGGGAATAGAGAATAGGGTGAACAAGGTTGAAAAAGAGTTTTGAAAAATATTTTCTTTTCTCTTGATAGGGAAAATATTTTCCTTCAATTGGAGAAAAATGAGTTCATGAGGGAAATGTTTTCCAAAATATTTAAGTCAACCAAACATAAAAAATATTTTCCTTTGTACCAAACACACACATAGACTAGACAGTCGGTATACTAAACATCAACCCAATCATTAAAAAAAATAGATTGGCAAATACGAAAATTTATCCTCAATTTTATACCGAAATTATTTTATATGTTGATTATTTTTCTCAACTTTGTTTTTCATTAACCTTGGGTATTGTTGCCAAAAAAAAAAATTGGGTATCTTTGCCCAACTTGTTCACCAAGTAAATCCAAATAAGTAGGTACTAGGTAGTATAAAGGTGAAAAGAATACAAAGAACCCCAAGGAAAGGTACACCGTACACGGCATGAAAGTTCACCACTAAGAGCTGTCACCAACTACAAGTTACAGCCCTCTCTCTCACATTACAAATACGTCTTATCCCTCATATTCTTGTCACACACACCCAAACCAAAACTTCTTTAACACATACATCTCTCTTGCTAAACCTACCTTTTGTAAAATCATCAAAATCTTTTTTTCTCTTTCTGATTCAATCTTTTCTTTCTTCTATTATAAAGAAAGAGTCAATTACATAGAAAAATGTGTGGTGGTGCAATTCTTGCTGATCTCATTCCCCGCCGTGATCGCTGCGCGTCATCCACTGACTTATGGCCAAATTCTGCAGATTTTTGGCCAAGTTCTTCATTTGCTAAGCCAATTATGTCCAATCAAAATGTTACCGCCACTCCAAAACGAGCTCAACCCCCTACAGGTAATTAAACCTGAGCTTATGCATGTTGTTTTTTTGGCTGAATCATCTTTATGCTGATCCCTAATCATAGGCGGCTCAAGGGTAAGGCTTGTGCCCAAATTTTGGGGGGACCCACTTTCCCTTGGTAGTAATTTTAATTTTTTTATATAAAAATTGAGTATCTTAACTTTAAAAAGTAAATAACTTAATACAAAAAGGAAAAGAAAATTTTAATTTGTGACTAGCTCTGATAGTTGAGATTTTAATAATTTAAAGGGTATAAAGATATCTTTAATTTTCTTATTTAGTGGGTAAAATTTGATATTTTTATTTAAAGGGTATAAAGATATCTTTTATTTTTGACAAGAGTGGACTGCTTTAGTGGTGAGCACTCTCCACTTTCAATCAAGAGGTTGTGAGTTCGATTTACCCCAAGAGCATGTTGGAGAGTTCTTGGAGGGTGGGAGTCGACGTTAAAGAAAATATTACAAGTAGAAGATAATATCCGTATACTCAATAAGATAACAAGAATTAATTTTTATTAAATACCTATCCTATAACAATTTTGCATTATGTTCAATAATATATTAGGAGAATCTAAATGGATCGGATTAGCTATATTATCATTTATTATGTTCAATAATAAATTTCAAACAAAACTATACAAATTTATTTTGTTAACAAAGTAGGGGCCCTCATTGAGATTTTGCTCTAGGCCACCAACAATGTTGGGTCGCCCTGTCCCTAATGCATTTCTACAAACAGGTAATGAGCAGATCCAGAAGACCAAGAAGAAGCAAAGGAAGAATCTTTATAGGGGAATCCGACAGCGTCCATGGGGTAAATGGGCTGCTGAAATTCGTGACCCAAGAAAAGGTGTAAGGGTCTGGTTAGGTACTTTTAACACTGCAGAAGAAGCTGCAAGAGCCTATGATAAAGAAGCTCGTAAAATCAGAGGGGAAAACCGTTACAGTACTGCTTACGAATCCTATGATACTTCTTATAATCATGAGTCAAATAACTGCGATGGCAGCTTCTGCTCGCTCGAAAATCAAAACACTGAACCTGTTTTGGAATATCCATTAGCTTATAAAAATTCATCTGGGTCTGTTTATAATGGAAGCGAGGGGCAAAAAGCAGAGAACGAAGTGGAGAAACTGACTGAGGAGCTGATGGCTTATGAGTCATTGATGAAGTTCTATGAAATACCATATGTTGACGGCCAATCAGTGGCGGCGACAGTGAATCCAGCGGGGGAGGCCGTCGTGGGCGGTGGCTCGATGGATTTATGGACTTTCGATGACGTCAGTCCAACATTGCCCATAACTCAATTGTAACTAATGCTACTATTAATTAATGTTGTTTTTAAATTGTTGCATATTTTTGATTTTTCGGTTTAGGAGAATTGACTTTTTGTAATCTTGCTCGATCGTGTAAAACTGTATTTCTAGTATGGAGTAGTCCGTTTTGTTTTCTGATTATAATATTTTTGTCCAAAGCTGGATTTTTGGCTTCTTTCATGTATTTGGTAGGCTGGCTGCCAAAAAAGCTTCAGAAAAGTTACTTTACTGGAAGATATAATTTCAGAGAATCTTATTTACTAGTAGGTCATAAAGAAATACTAGTATTATTTCCTTGTTACTAAGAGAGGTTTTGTAATCACTTTTTTTCCTGTCATTGGTAAATTTGGTTTGAAGTGTAATAATCTTGCGAGGACCAGACAACCCGGTGTAGGATAAGATTTTCAACTGCTTTCCTCCCTTTGACAATCAAAATATTCGAGAACTTCGTTTCTCGAAACATCGTATAATTGTAACAATCATGGAAGTCCCTCGTGTAATTGTTCATCATTTGACATTTCCACTAATCTCAAGTTTTTTCCCCTGCAGTCATTTATTAGAAACACCGCTAACACTCGCAAATGCATAATGATTCTACAATATTTATATGATTATGTTAGAAGAGAATGAGTAATGAGTTAGAACCAACTAACTAATATATTAAAATTAGACACAATTAGTCCATAAAGCTCCAATAGTTGAAAACACAGTTTCATCTTTGGATGTAAAACCAGCTAAGTCAAAACAAAGGTTTATAGAGTTGGGGAAAAAAGTAGTTGTAGTAGCAGTAAGGGTCAGCAAGTTTTTATATGGCAAGCGTGTGGACAACTCAAAGAAAATTTTATCAAACCGAGAAACAAATTGAAATATGCACGTCGTTGCAAACTCAAATTGTCCAACATTTACATAGATAGGCACGGGGAAAACTTCGGCGCTAACGGTTTTGATGCAAAACTAAAGGCGCACCCCGCTTTCGTAATACAATGATTCCTTCAAAAACATACTACTTGTACTGCCTAACCAACTTCTTTTGTTTTTTCAAGAAACTCAGTCGTAGAGCTAGATTTTAGTTCAGCATTTATTTTAGAATATTTCGATGAATATGTATAAATTTTTAGAATTGAATAATTTAAAAGAACTAAAATTCAAATTTTGTAAGCTTCAAATTCGAGCGATTAGACTCAAACCATTATACGAGACATTAGAGGTAAATATCTACGACCCATTATTACTTGAGTAGGAAAAGAAAAACAAATCAACAAATATTTTTTGTGTTTTATTTAGATTTTGTGTTATATTTTATTGATAACAAAACTAATTTATTCGAAATTACGATTGGCGCCACTTAACTGCAAATTTTCGTGGCATCTAACGGACTTCATTCACAGCCGAAATATCCGTTTCTTTTTCATATATTTTTTTTCCTTAATGATGAAAAGAAAAATAATTTCCAAGTATTTTAATTTTTCATTTGAATCAATCAATGCTTCATAATTAATGGCATGGACTTTAGTTTCAATGGTCCCTCTTTGTTCTTACTTGACATACTTTTTGGACCAATTTTTTTTTGTAACTGGTCCGCGTCATAAGTCAAAGCAGTTTTTACCTATCTATACTACATTATAAACTTACTTATCCCTCATAGAGGGGTTATTACTTAATTACATTAGCATATACAATTTATCATTTGTATACAAAATAATATATTAGACTTTAATTTTACCCATTTTAGACTTCTTTCTTCTCTATTTTTCTTCTCCGTATAAATACTCCTCTCTCCCTTTCTCTTCGATTCAACTTTTGCAGATGAACATGCTCGGAACTTTGAAGAATGGTGAAGAAAAATAGTTCAAGTGGTTAAAAGCCACACAATACATACATGAAGCACCAACGTAAATGGGCTACCAGAACTTTTTAGATGAATAAACAATAAATTATCAACAGGAGCGGCATTTGGAACTAAGCTGAAACTAATTGACGGTGTAATTAAAATTTTAGTTGATTGCATATACATGAGCTTAAACTCCATTGATAGCTATTAGAAAGCTTATTTGAAGCTTTGAATTCGAAAATTAAAATTTGCAAAACTATTTTTTTGTTTGGATTAGACATTATTTCAAATGATTGTGAATATTCTTTGGAGTTTATATCTCAATTTTAGAGAATTTTGTAAAGATTCGAGGTGGTTTTGGTTGGAATTTTATATTGAAACTCGAAAAAGAAGACACAAATAAACTGTATATATTTAGTATATCGAGTGTAGAAATGATATACAAAATATCAACAACTTACATAATTGTAAATGATATACAAAATATCAACAACTTACATAATTGTATACAAGTTGTATATAAATTATATATAAATTGTGATTTTTAACCGGATCATGTAAAAATAATTTATATTTAAGTTGTAAATAAATTTTAGATAAATTAGATTTTGATCGGATTTGTATATATTTTATAACAAACTTTAGTTACTTTATGTAAATATGAAAACTTAGACAAATCGGGTAAATAAGTTTACAATCTCGTATATATACGAAAAAATCCCTAACCAAAATGGATTAAATTGGAGAAGAATTAACCCAAACAACCGCTTATCCAATCAGTTAAACTAATAATAGTCGGTGGAGATATAATATATGCATAATTTATGTATTATATGTGTATAATCAGTATATAATTTATATATATTGCTAAAAATAATAATGAATGTGATCGGCTTACGTGGCCGGGTACGATTTTACTGAGCCTTATGATGGTCGGGTACGTTTTTACGGAGTCCTCTTTGAGGCCGGGTATGATATGATGATGATGATGCCCACAGAGGCGTATATTTTTAAAAGTTTATGTATATATATATATTATGCATTTCATATCAGTAGCCCCCAGAGGCACTTAGATGTTACAGGTTGTATCTCCTCTATCTCTCATTTACATTGCAATTCTTGTTTATGCTTTCCTGCCTTACATACTTGGTACTTTATTCTTACTGGCGTCCCTTTTGCCTGGGGACGCTGCGTTTCATACCCGCAGGTCCCAATAAACAGGTTGACATTCCTCCTAGTAGGCTATTAGCTCAGTGGAAGGTGTAAGTGCACTCCACTTGCTCTGGAGTTGCCTATTTGGTCAGTATGCTTTGGATATATATTTATTAGTATGGCGGAGCCCTGTCCCGACCTTTATGATTTTATTTACTCTTAGAGGCTTGTAGATAGATGTCAGGTGTATGGATATATGACGACCCGGCTAGTCATCTCATGAGTTACCGCTCCGTTTTTTCCTATTTCTGCTTTTTTATGCTTTGTTTATCCGTGTTATATGGTATCGGGTTGGTCGGATCGAATCCGGAATGGTTTTGGTAAGGTTTGAGACACTTAGTCTCTAAAAGTAGCTTTAGAGTTAGAAAAATCAACCGAGAGTTGACTTATTGGTAAACGACCTCGGAATGTGGATTTTATGGCCCGGATAGCTTCGTTAGGTGATTTAGGACTTAGGAGTATGTCCGGAGTATTTTTATGATGTCCGGTGTAGAATTAGGCTTGAATTGGCGAAAGTTAGTTTTTGGTGAATTCCGGTCGGCAGTGAAAAATAGGATATCGGGGTCGGAATAGAATTCTGACAGTTGGAACAGGTTCGTAATGTCATTTTGGATATGTCTACAAAATTTCAGGTCAATCGGAGCTGTTTTGGATAGTTTCGGCGCCATTGGTAGAGTTTAGGAATTTCAAAGTTCATAGGCTTGAATTTGATGTAATTTTGGTGTTTTGATGTTATTTTTGGTGTTTCGAAGGCTCGACTAAGTTCGAATAATGTTATGGAACGTGTTGGTATATTTGTTGAGATTTCCGAGGGCCTCGGGTGGATCTCGAAAGGTTAACGGATCAATTTAGACTAGAAGAAACGCTGCTGCATTTTTTTCATAGCAGCATGAACATTAACTCGGGTGAACAGTAACTCGGGTGAACAGTACTCGAGTGAACAGTAAAAAATGCGTGAACAGTGTTTAAATAAACCCTTCGCGATCATTAAACCCCTTTACATCATTTTTTGAACGGGGAAAGAGCTTTGAGGCAATTTTGAAGAGAGGAAATCATTGTTCTTCATTGAGGTAAGGATTTTGGACCCTAAAACTCGAATATTTATGATTAAGGAACCAAATATCAGTGTTTAATTCATGAAAATCAGTAGAAAAAGGTGGAGTTAGGGCTTGAGATTATGAGACATTCTAGGGATGATTTGAGGGGTCAAACGAATGCCGATTTTCGAGTTCTTTATATGTACGGACTCGTGAGATGATGAAGAATATTTTGGTATAAAGTTTGTCCAGTTCTGGGATATGGGCCCGGGGATCGGGTTTTGACTAATTTCGGGTTTTGTGCTTAAAATCGATATTTTCAATTGGAATTCGTTCGTTTAGCATAATTTGATGATAAAAATCTGAACTTAATATATTTGGAGAACTCAAAAGTTGGTTCGAGAGGCAAGCGTGTTGCAGAGTAGTTTTTCGGGTTAGTTCGAGGTGAGTAATGATTTTAAATGATGTTTTGAGGGTATGAAACCCCGGATTATACAATGTTCGATTGTGTTGAGGTGGCGCACATGCTAGATGACGAGCGTGGGGTCGTGCACCGTTGGGGATTATGACTTAGTCCATCCCAAATTATTATTTTTCTGTATATTTGGTAGCTAATTGTTTGATATTATTATACTTTGGGCCAAATGCCATATTTGGGCTTCGTGCCAACTGTTTGAACCCTTAGGGGATTGTTAATGATATTTTCCTCATTGTTTGATTTCATACTTGTGCTCAATCATGCTAGATCTTTCAATGTTTTCAAGATGCAGCTATGTTAATCTATTTTAGAAACCTTAAATGATGTTTTAAAGATATTTTGACTGAGCTGCATATTTTTACTATTGCCCAAAGGGCTTATAAGATTCTGACTTAGTAAGGCCGACGACCTGTATTGTGTGGATACTTTTGGGTTGGGCTGCACGCCGCAACAGTAATACACTAATTATGATAATAAGGTCGAGGGCCTGAGATTGTATGCCACGAGGTGGTTTGATATTGATATGTGGCCGAGAGCCTGTTTATGATGCCACAAGATGGCTTGATATTGCGTTTGGGCCGTAAGGGGCCCTTCCAGGACTCTGCACACCCCCAGTGAGTGCGGGTACCCATTGT